GATGGGACAAGATCACCCAGTAAATCTCTAAAGTGGAGGGATTTGAACCTGGGTGCCCCTGATCCCTGAATATTTGATCTACTATGCTGTTCTAGAAAGATAATATTTGATAACATGGAAGTTTACAAGGTTACCTTCTTGGGCAGAAACAAAATTAATTCAAAACAATAAAACTGAAATGCAGCAGATTTGAAACAAGGGAAAGATGACCACATACACATCCAACAAGCAAAATGACTTAAGCAACTCCGCTTGTATACAATGTGCTACGCCTTTGCCTTTAAAGTACTGCCAGCTCAACTTTGAAGTTGCTTCCATTTGCCTGAAGTGGTTTTATTTGTATGATTAATGAATGCAGTTGGAGAATAAGGGTTGATGGCAAGCAGGAGAGTGTTTGTTTGTTTTTGCCAGCTTCTTAACTTTGAACCTGCCGCCAGTTCCCTATAAATTTTTTTTTAATCCTGAAATTATAATCATCAGGAGAGCATTTTTATTTAACACCTATCTCAAGAAGACGGATCAGGAATTTGGGAATGCTGACTCCAATCTCACTTTCTTGTTGAATTACACTTCAGCTGTGTCTGATTACAAGTCCTATCATCCCCAGCCAGCATGGCCACTGACATACTGAAGCAGCCAACCCATGCAACAGGTATTGGGGGAGGTGGCAGTGGGGTAATAAGTATTCTGGGTGCAGTGTGTGCTCTGTAGCCTGTACTCCAGCCCCTAAGCTAAGAAGTCAAGACAGTTTAGTGGTCTGAGCACTGGACTAGGACCCTGGAGTCCAGGGTTCAATTCCCTGCTCAGCCATGGAAACCCACTGGGTAACCTTGGGTGAGACACAAACACACTCTCAGCCCAAGAAAACACAGCAATAGGTTCACCTTAGGGTTGCCATAATTTGGAAATGACTTGAAGGCACACAACAACAACAAATCCAACATATACCATTATAAGTCACATTTTGGATCACTGTGCAGATCAGAATTGTGGATGCATGATGCTTCTCTGGTCCAAGGAACCCAGAGAGTTTTGTGGCTCATTGCTGAATACTCTAACTAGTTATGTGAAAGCTACTTAAAGTAGCTGTGTTTATTGCTCACCTACACTGTCTGGATAAGGGAGTTCATTTTAATTGGAGGATTCACATTTCCTTTCATTCCTTTTCCCAGGATAATTTCCACTTGGTTTTAATCTTCCGATACTATTTTGCAGCTCCAGCCATCCTAATATACACATATTATCTATCTCCAACTTTGCTAATATTAGTTCATGGTGTGTGTGTGTGTGTGCGTGTGTGTGCGCACGCATGTGCCTTCAGTGCATTAGTGACTGTACGGTAGTCCTTATTTCTGATTTCTATCTCGCAAAAAAAGTTACTTGTATTCCATTTAGTGCTGAAGAAAGAACAAACATTTTAGACAGATGTTGCTGTCATTGTTGTGTGCCTTCAAATCCTTTCCAACCTATGGTGACCCCCAAGGTGAGCCTATCATGGGGGTCGCTTGGCAAGATTTGTTCAGAGGTGGTTTGCTACCTCTTCAGGCTGAGACAGTGTGCCTTGCTTGCCCTAGGGGACCCAGTGGGTTTCCATGGTTGAGCATGGATTTTAGCCCTGTTCTCCTGGAGTCCTAGTCCAATTCTGAAACCATTATGCCTCTGTATTTTAGAACAGACATTTATTTAAAATATGGAAAAGATTGTGGAGCAGACATTATTGCTACCAGTAGTTATTGCACAATCTGAAATCTTTCAGCATCCAGCAACAGCTCATCCAACTACCCCAACATGGTGACTTCCAGATGTTTTGAATAATCAGCCCTTGTACACATGGTTAGGGACCAAGGTTATGGGAGTTGTAGTATAGCAATGGGAGGACATCAGGTGTGTGCATTTGGGAGAGGTAAAGTAATTAGCAAGAACCTAATCTGCTCAGAAACAAAGCTACAAAGTTCAGTGGGATGTATTTTTAGATAGGGATGCACAGAATTTCAATGAATGCTGACACACTGCAGAATTAAAGCAGTTTGACACTGCTTTAACTGTCGTGGGTCTCATATTGGATGATTTTTAAAAATATATTAAGCAAAGGGGGAAAAAACAAATAGATAAAGGAGTGTTTTCTCTATGACATGGCTATCCTAATTGTGAACCGTGATTGATCTTCATAAAGGTATTACTTTTATTCTTCAGTGTCCTCTCCCTGGATGTTCCTATTCATCTGCCTTTAAGGTTGTATCTGCACTACAGAAATAATGCAGTTTAATACTACTTTAACTGCCATGGCTCCATCCTACAGAATCCTGGGATTTGTAGTTTGTTGCAGCACCAGAGTTCTCTGACAAAAGAGAAATATATCACAAAACTATAAATCCCAGAATTCCATAGCACTGAGCCATTAATTTTACAATGTAGATGCAGTCCCAGGCCGCACAACTCCTTCTGTATACTCTTTACAAACTGTAGATTTGAAACTTTCCCACCACATCTTTTATTAAACAACCAGATGGAAAAAGAGTTCTGCAGAAATAGTAAGCTTTATTTAGTGGGTAGATGGTGCCTCCCATGTTAGCAGAGCAGTGACTCCATTGCAGGTTTTACTCTTGATTTTAAAAAGGAGCTATCCAAATTGCTGAACCTATTTCAGGGTAAGGTTCAGCAGCAGTTTGGACTGTAGTTGGTCCCTTATCAAGGTATGCTACTGTCATTTGTTTTTTACTTTTCCATCTTGAATTAAATCAATTAAATATACTAATTTGTATCCCTTCCTCCCTTGCAGCACACATACAATGAATCCCCATCCTCTTCTATCTTCCAATCAGCTAAACACTAAAGAAGATGTTGAATTTGCTATGATTTGGTATGTTCTAGAAGTCTTCATTCTTTTAAATCTGGAACAAAGCATAGGAAAAAAACCTACTTTTGGAACTACAAATCCCAGAATCCCCATTGGCCAAGCTGGTTGCAGAATTCTAGGAACAGTAGTCAAAACTGACAAAACCCCCAAAACCACCATAGGAATTTACCTTTAATCAGTCTACAATCTGTATCCAGTTGTTCAGTAAAAGTAAAAATGACAAGTGTTCATTATTTTCAGTCTCTCCAGTATTTTCTAAATTAGATGAAATCACAGTGGGCCCTTGGTATCTGCTGGAGCTTGGTTCCAGGACCACATTATTATTATTATTATTATTATTATTATTATTATTATT